CCCACTTCTCAAGGGACCAGTCTTACAGGTCCTTCCATACTCTGCTACTCCACTGCCACGGTCCTGGAGCCATGCAGCCAGGTGAGACACATTCTCCTTACCCAGATCCCCTCCTGTCCCCCAGGTCACACCTCTGGAATTAGCATTAGCTGATTGTGGTGTGACAGAGGGAAAGGGTGTCTGCTACTCACTCATCCTCAGTCCAGGCTCCCCTCCTTCAAGCACCAACCTGCAGTACCCAGGCTTGGCCACAAGGGACACTACCCAGCGACTTTTTGCCTGGTGGAGGAGGCCTGGGTGAGAACACATCCTGCCCAGATGAACAAGAAACAACTCAGGGGATCTCTCCTCCCAGAGATCTCCAAGAGCAGGACCTCTACAGCCTTGTTGGCTGGCTTCTCCTGATATTATATTCTTTAGCCATCTAGAAGATATTGTTCTATATCTTAGCATATTTCTCTTTGCTTTCCCACAAGCCTCTCTTCTAGGCACCTCTTGACTGATCAACAGTCACCACAGGGGGAGACACCTTCACTTCTGTTGTTCCCACCTCCTTAAATGAGTGCTTAGCCTAAATCATGAGCCCTGTATTTCAGGATGTGGGATGGGAAATGGTCCTCTTCCAGCTCTTCAGCATATCTTGACTCTGTCCCCTTCTGTCTCCACAGTGCCACCCAGGTTCAGAGCTCCCCTTCTCTGTCCAGGATTAATGCAGTGGCTTCCTAGAGGATCCCCCATCTCCAGACAGCCCCTGCCCATGAACCCTCCACCCTGGAGCTAGAGCAATCACACTTCCATTAGGTGCTGGCCTTTAGTGGCTCCCCAAATTTCAGACATCCACACAGCACTCCAGGCTCCTGGATCCAGCTGCCTGATTCTCCAGCCTCATGACTGCTTCTCCCTTCCAACCAGCAATACTGAAATACTTGCAGTTGCTTAACACACCGTGATGTTTTAAGCCTTTGTACTTTGCACATGTTTTTTTCTATGACCTGAGGCTCTCCTAACCCCTCCCCTGCACCTCCTCCACTGTTCCCCTTGTTCCCCATACTTCCTCCACCTGGCGAAGCCCTATTCATCATTAAAACTGCCAATTCCTCAGTGAAGCCTTCCCTCACCACAACTCCTTTCTTTGTCCCAGAACCCCTCCTCTGAATGGATCCTGTTCCCCAAACACAAGTATCTCCCTGTATCTGTCATTGGGAGTTGTAATAATTACTCACCTTTGTTCAGTTCCCTCCACCATCTCTGTACCTCTGTGTGGGACCCAGAGCCGGCATATAGCAGGTGCCACGTAAGAGCAATTGCCCTGGGGTTGTTCTCTGTCGGCACCATCACCTCCCGCCTGAGCAAGTCCTTTAAATGTTCTAACTCCCATTTGTTGACCTGCCAAGTGGAGAGATGTGAGAATCACAAGGGCCACATGTATTAAAAAATATATATACATGTCTAAATGCCCTGCACATATTTTTGTTGCACTTTTTTGTTCCAGATTAATGTTTACCTGCACTTGCTTGTGTGGAGAATATCAGATGAAAAGAATGTGATGTGATCTTTTTGTGATTTCCCCACTTTGTGTCAGGGAAAAGCTGGTCAGGAGTAAACCATTAATTCTGTCTCCCTGTGGCCCCAGTCTTCTCTGAAGCTCTGGGTTAATGATTCCAAGGTTGTTTTCTTCACAGGGCCAATTCGTATCTAATCTCTGGCATGTTCCCTTTTTTCTCAAGAATAGCTTGACTCACTCCAATAATTCCCCATCCTGGAGTCAGAAACTCGTTTGGCCAAAGAAAACAGGGTGTTGAACAGGCCTGAGCAGGTCCACCATTCCCTCTACCAAAAGAAGAGACCCTGTCCCATTACTAGTTTTGTGAAAGTCACAAACCTTGTTGCATGAGGACCCATGCAAGCAGGATGCTGTGATCTAACTCATAACCTCCTTCATGTGACGTTTCAGGATTTGTTTTCAGAACCTCAGTAGAAGAAAGTTATTTTTTTTTCTTTTTTCTTTTTTAAATATATTTTATTGATTTTTTACAGAGAAGAAAGGAGAGGGTTAGAGAGTTAGAAACATCGATGAGAGAGAGACATCGACCAGGTGCCTCCTACACACCTCCCACTGGGGATGTGCCCGCAACCACGGTACATGCCCTTGACCGGAATCGAACCTGGGACCTTTCAGTCTGCAGGCTGACGCTCTAACCAGAGCCAAACCAGTCTTGGCAGAAGAAAGTTCTTGACGATGTGGTACAGAGAAATCATTCAGAAGTTTAATTAGCAACTGCATGAGGACTGGGCTGCAGAGAGAGGCAACCCCAGTCAGGAGTGGGCATGGAATTCCAGGGGGTGGTCTGTTTATGGCTGCAGTGCAGGTCATACCGGAGGCAGGGGACAGAAGCCTAGGAGCCAGACACAGCTCAAGGATAGTCTGGGTGCTCTTGAAATATGACCCTCTAGGGACTATGAGCTCACTGGAATTTGAAAACCAGCTCCCCAGCAATCTATCTTTCCCTCCCTTCAATCCAGTAAATTTGGTGTTCATCTCTGTGAAGTATGGGACCATGTTGGTAAGAATGCTGATGTCTCAGGTTCTTGTGCCAACCCAATCTCCTTAGACTGGTTTGCTCTGCCTCCTCCCCATACCCAAGACAGCTGTGATTGAAGTAGGCAGAAGCAAAGGTCCCACTGTGTAATTGTAGCAAGTTACATTCTCTGAGCCTCAGTATTCTCATCTGTAAAATAGGGATATTATTCCTTCTTTTCCTAATAACCATATAAGGATTTTTGTAATTACTTACCTAGAATAAATGTAATTTAAAGAGACTAGACCTTTCAGACATACTATTTTTGTATATACACTAGAGTGAAAATATGAGAAGGCATTGGTTATAGTATCTCTAAGGCAATAGTTTCATCACAACTATCATGATGATTTTATCTTTGATTTCAGAGTATTAAAATGCAATGCGTGTGTACCCACCACCTTGCTTAAAAATTAGAACAATTCCCAGCAGCACCGAAAGCCTTGTGCTCACCAATTTGATCTCTTAACTTTCTACCCTAGAGAAAACGATTGCACTAAATTTTGTGTTTTCTGTTGTCCGGCTTTAGCAAACATGTACCCTATTCAGTGTATGGTTTGGTCTTGTTTTTGAACTGTTCTCTAAGTGGAATTATATTCTACTAGAGGCCTGGTGCAAGAAATTCATGCACTTGGGAAGGGTGGGGGTCTCTCAGCCCAGCCTGTGCCCTCTCACAGTCCAGGAGCTCTTGGGGGCTGTCTGACTGATAGTGAGGAATGGGCCTAAGCTGGCAGTCAGACATGCCTCTTGCAGTTTGGGACCCTTCACTCCTTACCATCTGCCTGCTGGCTACTCCTTACCACTTGGTTCACTTCTCCTTAGCACTGCCTCGGAGGTGGAAGAGGCTCCCTGCCGTGAGCCCGGCTTCTGGCTGAGCAGACCTCCCCCTGAGGGAGTGCACTGACCAGCAGGGGGAAGCTCCTGCATTGAGCATCTACCTCCTGGTGGTCAGTGCGAGTCATAGTGACTGGTTATTCCACCGTTCTGTCAATTTGCATATTAGCCTTTTATTATCTAGGATTCTGTGGCTTGTTTAAAAAAATATTTGAGCTTATCTATGCTAATATCCTGAATTATCAGTTCTGTTTTTTGAAATTGGAGCTGTGTCCAATGTTTTGTTGTTACATTAATTTTCCTAGAAACATTCTCAAAGCTACCTCCTATAACATGTATTTCTCCAAGGTATATACTTAGGAATGGACTAAGTCTAGAGGAGAATACCCCTCCCCTGCCAAGCCCTGTTCTGAGGGCCAACAAATGCTGATACACCTCTCTCCTTCCCTGAATAGCCTGAGGGGATGCAAATCCTCTTCTTGCTTTGTCTGGGGAGCGGGGAAAGAATCCTATATAATAAAAGCCTAATATGCTAAATGTGTGGTCATCCGTTCAACCAATCAAAGCATAATATGCTAATGATATGCTAAGGCCACTCAACCGCTTGCTAGGATGTGCACTGACCACCAGTGTGCAGATGCTCTGACCACTAGGTTAGCTTGCTGCTGGGGTCTGACCAATTGGGACTGAGCCAGATGAGCCGGACATGCCCTGGAGCTCTCCCGCAATCCTTCCCTGGCTGGCCAAACTTCTGCATCCCTGCCTGGCCCCGAGTGTACACTGATAGGATCCCTTGGCCTAGCCTGCACCCTCTCACAATCCGGGACCCCTCAGGGAATGTCAGAGAGTGGGTTTTGGCCTGAAAACAAGCATGAAAGACTAATATGCAAATCAACCTAATGGAGGAATGACCGGTTGCTATGATGTGCACTGACCACCAGGGGCAGACGTTCAACGAAGGAGCTGCCCCCTGGTGGTCAGTGCACTCCCCCTGTGGAGAAGCCATGCTCACAGCTATTGAGCACAGTGACAGTGGCAGGAGCCTCTCCCGCCTCTGCAGCAGCGCTAAGGATGCCTGACTGGGCTCGCTCCCCACGGCTGTCAGTGAGATGTTCCATGAGGGCTCCTGGACTGTGAGAGGGCGCAGGATGGGCTGAATAACAGCCCCCTCCCCTGAGTGCATGAATTTCATGCACCAGGCCTCTAGTTATTTATAAAAAGAATAGGGAGATGGTGGAGGTAGAGCTTCTCAGGCCATCCTAGGAGTTTCAGCCATGGCCTTGGGAACAAGGCCAGAAAGGAGTTGAGGCCCAATGGAGCCCTCCTGCTGGCTCTGTCCAGCATGGGTGAGAGGGCACTGCTCTGGACTGGATATGGGGTCTCAGTCTGTAGCACAGTTGACATCACAGAATCTACTGTGAGGTCACTGCTAGACCAAGGGACATAGAAATTCAGACAGAAAGCAGCATTGTATCGATTATATTCAGACTGTACGATCTTTATTTAAAATGCAGCAAGGAAAGTTGAAATAGGCTTTCCAGAGATCCTCCCCTGAGCCCTGGTCCCCTTTGCAGCTTCTGGGTCCTACTAATAGGGTATTAAGGTCATTATCTCTATGATCTCAGATGTTGGACTGTCAATCATCTCCAGTCTCTGGCCACTCTCTCCTCTCTCTATGATGCTCTCCATGCTGTTCCTTCCCATTGTCTTAGCCAGATTGTTCACCTCCTTGCCGTGTGGTGAGGTCACGATTTTTGTTGTAAGATTGGCTTTGACATTCCTCCAGAAAGAGCTGATACTGCTGAGTCTCTTGGTTGTGGACAAGCTCCTCCCTGGTTTGTGAGAGGTTCTGGAGTCCTTGGTGATGGGAGCAGAGCTGATGCCTTTGTGCATGGTGACAGGCCTGTTGTCCCCGGAGCTGCTGAAACGTGACTCCTTTTTGTCATTTCTCTGCCTGCCTAAGAACCAGCTAGATGGTTTTCGAAAGATCTTGTCACCCCCTGGCTTTTGGTGGCTTTCAATTGTCCTTAGGTGATGGGGACTCCTGAGAGCTTTGTTCCTTTCCCTTTGCTCCCTCCTGCCCTTTCTGCTCTTGTAGGCTTCAGCCATGGCAGAGGATACTTGCTGCTGCCTTCCGGCCTGTTCAGTTACACTACCTTCTTTGGGCAAGGTTGCACTGAGAAGTTCTGTGGCACGGCCGATAGCTGTTTCTCCAACAGTCTTGCTGGTCAGCTCTGCTTTTGCCCTTGCAACAATCATGCTGGTCTCTGGGGAGAGGCTAGTCTTGGAAGGACTCCCTGGGACCTTATTGGCAGTACCTCTGAAGGCCGTCTTAATGCTCTTGGGGGACATGTTGGCAGTACCTGCAATGGCTATGCTGGTGCTGCTCCCCCCTGGGCCCTTGGTGGCTGCCCCTGCTGTGGCTGCACTTAGTTGTTCAAGGGCAGTAGATGTGGTTATTGGCATGCTCAGAGCAACTGCTGTGGTGCCTGCTGCCGCCCTTGGTACTGATACTTTGTCAAGCTCCATAGGTTTTGGGTTTGGGGTGGCTACATCAGGCATGTTAGTGAATCTATGGGAGTCATATTGGATACTCTCCCCTCCAGCAAAAGCTGCAGAAGTGGCCCCAGCCACCTCAGAGACCACGTGGAGGCTTCTGATGCTGACCTGGTCCTGATCTTCTTTCCCTCGGAGATTGGCCGCTCTCTGGCTCCTCCTGTCCTCATCCTCAAACACAGGCACGCATGCCATGTCCTTGGCAGGGTTGGTGTAGGTACTGTTGTGACTGTCCACTGGTGTCTGCAGGAGGTGAACGAGGTTTTCCCAGCCGGCAAAGAGGTCGTCCCAAGCGTCCCGAGGGGAGCACAGCTGCAGGTAGCAGGAGCGGCCAGTGGCGAACTTCAGGTGCAGCTGTTGTTTCTCACGGTCATGAATGGAGATCCTCACAAACTTCAAGGGAAGGAGCCTCGTGAGCTCCAAGGTCTTTGCAGCCTGGCGGCTTTTTCCCGTGGTGACTCTGCTGCGCCCTGCATGCTCTTCCCAGCCGGTGGCCGGGCGGGCCAGCAGCATGACGTCTGGAAGTGGGAGGATGGGGCTGGTGGATGCGATGCCCATGGTCAGAATGCGGACGTGGTTGTGCACATCAACCACCTCTCCTCTTCTCGTGATCTGGATGAAGTCACTCTCGAATATAGGTGCGTGCTTGAAGATGTCATATTCTCCCTTCTGCAGTTGGCGTTGCAGTTTTCCCATGGTGGTATTGAACATGCCCACTTTGGAGCTGTTCTGGGCTGTGTAATATGGCAACGGAGACTCCCTGTTCATGGCTTTGTTGTATCACAGCAGGCAGTGGTGGCGAGGCAGTTCCCTGGGTCTTCTCTTTCTTGGCCTCGTGGCAGCAGAGGGAGCAGTAATGCTCCTGGGTCACACAGATGGCTCTATGGAGGTCTCTCAACCCCACCCCAACCCACAGGGACCCCTTTGCCTCCCAGCCTCCCAGAGGCAGGGTGGGGTGGGGCACAGATGCTTGCGGTGGGGATGCTAGAGGGCGCCTGAAGCCCAGACTGAACCTCATCAAGGATATAGAGATGTAGAGTGGGCTTCCTCTCTGCTTCACTTCACCTCCACCTCTGATTCTTTTATTTCCCCAAGAGGCTATGAACTCCACTCTCTCAGCCCACACCCCCTGTGCGGCCATATTTATACTCCACTGTCCTTTGTGACCTGTCACTGTCTCCCTACCCCTTTGTGCTCATCCCCTAGCCACCCCCTCAGGACAAGGCCACCATCATTTCCCCAGACACCGTTGACCCCACAGAGGACAGGTCCACCCTGCCAGGGACTCAGGTGGGTTCCAAAATAAAAACTGGACAACATCTGTAGGAATGTAAGGTGATGGGATTAATGTGAACCATTTGATCTCAAGGTTTAATTTCATGAAATAACCCAGAATTGGCAGTCTTGGTCCCTAACCCATCCTTTCATAAAATCTTAGTAAATGTTGATGATAATGACCATTAATAATAACTTTAAAAATTGCTTCCCTTAGGCACTATGCTATGTTCTTCACTCAGGATGGTGAGAATCCACTGAGTTTGTGTTGTTGCTACCCCTTCTCCCCCCCGCCATTTTATAGATGTAGAATTTGAGGTGGTATCACTTACCTAAATTCACACAACTAATGGCAATGGAGGCAGTATTTGAATGCAGGTCCAGCTAATCTTTGTTCTGAACCACTAAGTACTTTGCCTCACAAAGGACGCTTGGGCCGACCAAATGTTTTCAAACTGGACTGACTTAACTACCTCCAAGAAGACCCATTTTGTGTGTTATTGGAAGTTGTATAATTAATTCTATTATGTGTGCATATTATGGAGAGAATCCAGGAAAATGGTTGGGCTGAGTTGGGGGATTAAATTTTCCAGTGGGCCGCCCTGGCTAGTGTGGCTGACTTGGTTGGAGGGTCATCCTGTACACAGAAAGGTTGCAGGTCCAATTCCCAGTCAGGGCATACACCTAGGTCATGGGTTCACTCCCTGGTTCAGATACCTACAGGAAGCAACCAATAGATGTTTCTCTCTCATATTAATTTTTCTTTCTGTCCTCTCTCTTATTCCCTCTGTTTCTAAAATCAATATAAATGTGATATCAGGTTAGGAATAAAAAATAATAATTAGTAAATAATCTAGGGTGCTGCCTCATTTCTTCCTTTCCATTAAGTTTATACAAACAGCTTGTGTAAACTTCAATTCCAGGAGCCTGACAAAGGCCTCCTGCAGAGCCTCCCTACCAGCCAGAAGTGGTTGGGAGCATTGACACTTTTGGAGAGCATGTACCATTATACCTCCTGTCTTATTGGGCTCCCACAGAGCTAGTCACAGAATAAGTGATTTCTACATTGCTACTTCAAAGTTCTGAGAAAGACCCCTGTTCCCAAACCTCTTATATGCCACCTTAGAGATTCATTCCTTAGGATACAATCTATCTTCCTGTGCATCACCAGAGGAGTGGATAAACAAAATTTGGTCTATCTATACAGTGGAATATTATTCAGCCACAAACAGGAACAAGGTACTGGTAAATGCTACAGCATGGATGAACCGGAAAACACTATGCTAAGTGAAAGCAGCCAGATATAAAAGGCCACATATTATATGATTTCATTTCTATGAGATATCCAGAAGAGGTAAATCCATAGAGACATATATTAGATTATTGGTTGCCTAGGACTGGAAAGAGGGGTGATTGCTTAATAGATAAAGGACATCCTTTGGGGTGGTAAAAATTCTGGAACTAGTGGTGATGGTTATATAGTATTGTGAATGTACTGGATGCCACTGAATTGCACACTTCAAAATGGTTACACTGGTAGATTGTATGTTATGTGTATTTTAATCTCACACACATGCACACACCTTCTCAGAACCCTGTTAAAAAACATTGTTTCAACTTTAGAAAGGTTAACTGTGTGACCTTGAGCAAACTATTCACCTCTCTCCTTCATTTGTAAAATGGGGATAATAACTGTTGCTGGGAGGATTAAAAGAGATAATGCATATAAAGTGTTGAGCATACTGTCTCAATAAATGTTAGCACTTATTGGTATTAGTCCTCAACTGGTCCTTTAAGCCTCAGTGTGAATTCCTTCCTGAGAGTAGATTTGATCAAAGAGAGAAACTTTTGGGGTTAGAGCCACCATGAGAAGGCAGAAGGATGCTCAATGGGTATACCTGGCCACCTGTGAGGTTTTACCTTAGGCAGATCCATGATAACCCTGCTCACTCCATAGAGAAACTGCCTGAACACAATGAAATAGTATGGGATGGGGAAGAGAGGAGAAAGCTTGGTTTGGGTTTGGGTTTCAGGGGTTTGTTAAAAGCCCATGAGGAGAAAAGAATAGCATTTTAGTTCTTGGCAGAAAGTTAGTTTCAATTCTAGAACCCCTGTCTTGGGCCAGAATGCTTTAAAGCTCTTTACTTCAAAACAGGAGTTAGGCCAGATCTCAGAGGAAGACAAGGGGGTAGGATGAGAGCAGGAGAGAGGAGGGAGGGTGGGCTTCCCACAACCTGTGAATGTGATGTCACCACTGAGGTAGCCCAATGAAAGACATTGTCATTCTGGCGGAGGTCCCATCCAAGTTTATTCTCCCAGATGCCTCCCCCTCCAACCTTCCCTCTCAATCAAATATGAAACAAGATGAACTAAATGACTTGATGGTCAGTACATAATCATCCTTTATTATTATTAAAGTATTGAAACATAAACTTGGCTACAGAAAACCAAACTATTTTTAAAGCATTTGTTAGAAGAACTTAGTTTCATTAACCATACATAGTGCATTTCTCAGATCAATTTTTCCTGCCATAGCTGCCAACCCCTTCCTTCCTCTACAATCCATTGTCCATGGCAGCTTAAAAATTGCCTTGAGTTTCATAACAGCTGATTGATGGCACCTATACTCACAACTGGAAGGTAAATGCAAGGAATTCCCCCCTCTTCACCAGGATAAAGGAAAGATTATCTCCTAAAAAAAGGGTGAACGGCACTTCCACCAGCTGTCTCTTTACAGATTAGGTACTACCCCTAATGTGCAATTAAAGCAGCCAAAATAGAACACCTGTGTCACAGGTGATTGTGCAAGAGAACTATAGATGTATTCAAAGAAACAGCACCATTCATGTGCATGAATCATAACATTTAATGAAGAACAGCATTGGTAGCAGAGTAGCCAATTTTCATTCTAGCCTGTGAGTGTTACATATGTGCATACACAGAGAGCAAGGGAGCTTGGTTCTGTCTCAGATCTAAGGAATCCTGTGTTCCAGAGATTCCCAAAATTAGATAGAATACTTTTCTTTGAATTATCACACCTATTCCATCTAAAATTATTCTCCCTATCTTCCCCATTGTATGGTAATTGGGAACATGGGCCCCTTCCCATGCTCCAGCTCTCCTTCCTCCCCTCTGCCCTGTGGGAAATAGATTGAAGGCCTTCTGTGAGACCTTGGGAACCTGGCCAGCAACTTGGTCTAAGAAAAGCCAAAGAGAAACTGCTGCTTCTAGATGTGATCCAGGACTGTAAACAGCCAGTTTTTGAGCTCATATAAGCATGTTCCCTCCCCCAAATGCAGTTTTTCTCTCTTTTCTGTATGTACTCTATGAAACCTTGTTTTGGGAAAGGCTAGGTGAGGGCTAAACAATAGCACTGGCCAGCTGCCCCTGGGATGGCACATCCACCGGCCAGAAGGGACTTAGTGGGCAACCTCACCAATGGCAGCTGTTGCAGTAATAAACTTTACTGGTCTCTAAGTAAGTCAGTCCTATTAAACCCATGTCATTTACAGCCAGTCCTCTGGGTTATTTCTTTGGAATCCATAAATAATACACTGAGTTTTTCTGGGACTGGGACTTCTCAGCACTTTGCATAACACTCATCCTCCCCTCATTTTCCCCCTGATATTTGAAATACACATTTGCAACAATGTGACACACATCTGGACATTATAACTAATGCAATTCAAGTGAATACTTCAAGAGAAGTTCTGTGGCTGAATGGAAAGGTGTCCATGGCTCAAGTTGAACAACAGGTGTATGTTTTAGGCTTTTGTCCTTTCAGAGAAACTGATAGTTGAGGTATTTAGCAATTCAAATTTTATAATAAAATCTTAACACCAAATAGTCAAGGGATATGCTTGGTCTGTGTTCCAGGGTTTGTTAATGAGCAATTGAGCATCAGATGCCATAGACTGGGGAAGAGGACTGAGAGTCAACTATACCAGCTAGTGGCACCCCAAAGAACAAAGGAACACTTAGAAAATATTTAAGGCTAAATAACCACACCACCCCCACTGCCCCCAATGGAGAGGAAAGGGGCAAGAGAATGACCAGACATCAACAACCAATTTTAAAGCACAGACACCAGCACAACACTTAAATTTACCATATATTTGTTTCAATATTTATTATATTGATAGGAATACTAGGATAAATAAGTAATATATTTTTTTTCTTACAGAAAATTGTAATGATACTATTGAGTAGGATTAAACACTCTGAGAATTTCACAGAAACATCAGAATTTAAATAGACCAGAGTTCTCGTGGCCAGTGTGAATGACCTCTCACAGCTGTACATGCTCTGGGCCAAATTTCTAAACATCTGCATGACAAAAACAATGCCATTCACATCCAATAATGCGAACATCTAGGCATCACCTAGCTTCAAACGCACCTCTACTGAATGTGGTTTTCAACTGCAAGTAAAGGAAAACGGAATATTCTTTGGCTCTTAACTGGCCTAGGAATAACTCATGACCTAAACGACCGAGCAGAGTCCTAACCTTTTGGAAGGTGGACTTTCTGCTTTCTTCCTGGGACAGAGGACCTGCAGTCATGCCCAGGAATTTTGCACTAATGTCTGAGTGCCAAGGGAAATGAGGCCTGCTCTGTTGGCACAAAACGGCACTGCTGGCTGGCAAAATTCTGTTCTCCTGGGGCTGACAAGCTCTTCTGGCCACCTGAACATTTTGTAAAACACTCCACATGATGGTAGTCCCTCAAACTCTCAGAGACTAGATCTGAGGAAAATCTCAAACAAGTCACACCAGTGTTGTCAGAGCACACATCAGGAGAGCACAATGCTTAGTTATGAAACAAATGCCTTGCACAGTAATTTCTGTACATAACAGCATATTGGCTAGAAGCACAACCCTGGCCATTGCACAACTTTGCTAAAAGCCATTCTCCATGTCCCCTACTAGTGACTGTGGGTGTGGCAAGGGAGGAGGTGGTCCCACCCCACCCACCCAAGATATAGACACTTCTTTTGCATGAATTCTAACATGGGAGTTCCTGTTTTTTTGTAGAATCCAGATGAAAGGTGGGCAGAACATTAACCAGGGGTCATCTGGAGAATCCAAGAATGGCTGGTATGTTAAGGCCTAAATCCTGGAGTTGAGGCAAAAAATGCCCTTGCTCTGGTCCGAAGTCTGCTCTGGGGCAGAGTGGAGAGGCCCAGCTAGTCCTGCCTCCACAGTTCTTTGTTGCTGGGATTCGAGAGGAAGTCAGATCTCAATGGCTGCAGGGGTTTGGATGTAGAAGGAGGACGCAATGAGGAGTCCCCAGTTGCCCCCATAACCACTACTGCTTAGCTCTGCAAAGTTCCTTCTTTTATCTGTTGGATAAAAAGGTTTCTCTCATCTTCTGGAGTCCGCCCATTCTGAGCCCGGACAATACATGTGGGCCGATGGAGGTTGAGCATGTATATCAAATGCTGCTTCTCATTCTTGAGCTCCTCAATTTGGGCCTTCAGTTCAGCATTTACACTCTCCAGCTTCTCTGACTCCTGAGGAACAAGCCAGAGTTATTACAATTTGAGCCAAGGGACAGCAAGGAGGGATGGCCAGGGAATGGCCCCTGGGTGATAGGGTAGCACCTAGGACATGTGGGGGTCTCATCAAGTTGGAAATGGCCTGCAGAGGCAACGCCATGGGCTTCCTGCTACAGTGCCCAACAAAACCGGATAAGCAGCCTTTGGTTTGGGAGAATCCAGATTCTGGAGAAGCCTTAGAACTTAGAGGCTTCTTGAGTAATGCTCTTGAGTTTTCACTCAAGATTGAGGCAAGCTGTGACTCTAATAGAAATGAGGCTGCAGTGGAATCAATGGCTCATAGGTCTCCTCTGCATGAGTCCAATAGCCCATATGCAGGTCTTCTGGACCTACAAGGGCCCTGGGGGCTGGAGCAAATTCTGGGCTCATGGTACTTTGTCTTCTGAGTCAATCATTTCACAGAGAAGCTCATCTCCCCAGAAAGAATGTACATGGCAACACACAAAGTGTCTTAGTTTTCACTGATTCCCTAAAGCAATCAACAGAACTATGGGGACCGATGGAATCTGGGTGATGACTCTGCCCTAGCCTGTCCACATGTGGGGGGAAAGACATAAATACTGGAAAGAATAGAGCACGAGCTACCCAGCCTGCCACAGATACCATTCCCTTTAGGAAGGGGAGCTGGCTAGATATAGCCAGGAGCTAAAAGCCTATTGGGTGAGCCATGGAGAAGGGCTACCGAGTTAAGAATGACCCAGGAACACCAGGAAAGTTTAATCACTGCTTGTGGATTAGGGAAATAACTTGTTTAAAGAGATTAATTAAAGGCATTTCATAGTGAGTCAAATGAGAGCTGGCAGCTTCCTTTTCTCAGGAGAATGGGCGAGTGAAGCCTATTTGACTGGGCTGACATCCTGCAGCCTGGAAACTGCTGGACGTGTAGGGACTGGCCACAACTACTGTGGTTTTTAATTCACACACCTGCTTTCATAACACCCAGAGTCCCATTCATTATGCTAACAGCTTTGCTAGCTCTTCATTCAGCCATTGGCATGTTTGCTCCCAGCTACAACCCTTCTTGGGTAAACTCTTCTGCGTAGGGGGCTTCTTAACCCCACTTCAGATCCTAACATGAGGTGGGGGACAGGCGTGAGCAGAAGGCCAGGGCAAGGCAAGAAGACACTCACTTTTTGCAAACACTCTGTTTTCTCCTTCTTCTTGTTTCGGCACTTGGCGGCTGCAATCTTATTTCTTTCCCGTCGCCTCTTTTTCCTTTCATCTTCTTCAGGGGCTACCTGTAAAATCCAACGGCACCTGCTTAATGGGAGGCAAGAAATGCGACCCATTTCAAATACACTGCCTTTTATTACCAGCAAAATCTACTTGTTATACTAGCCTAACATCAGAAGATCACTTGAGGAACACAGAATCACAGGTAGGTGGGGTGGCTCTAAGGAGTTTTTCCACAAAGCAGGCTGCCTACCTCTTCCTTTGGAGACCCTCAAAATATCCTTCGGAATGCTCTCCTTCCTTCTATGGTGGTCCTATAATTCCATTGCACTGTTATATCAAGATATTTAATTATAAAATTAAAATAAATATTCCCTTGTGTGTCCCATTATCTAACCAGCACTGTCCACTATTGGGACAATGACAGCCCCTCAGGTTAATGAGCACCCAGCCAGTGCTCCTAATGACAGCATCATACAGTAGTCCCTTCTACCAGTCAGTGAACTGTCAGCCAGGTCTTTTTCTAGACCTTAAAAACTGTCATTTCATTCATCCTCATACGGATTCATAAAGCCCTTATATATAGAATCACTGCCCCTTTTATAGAATCATACAGATTCTTAGCCAACTTCCTTTAAAACTCAGTTCTTTTTCAGCCAGTTCCACGATTCCAGGCCCAAATCCGTGTTCATGCCAGTTAAGCCCCAAACACTCCCATCTTGTTCCATGAGGGCAGACCAGCAAAACATCCAAGACCTCAGCTCTGAGTCCTTGAGCCAGCACAGCATCGCCAGCAATCACCTCTCAGACTTCCCACCATGTCTGTTACTCCAGGTGTCTTATGAAAAGTCGCTGAGTGGCGAGCAGTGAGGGACAGAAGTGAACTTAAAGCAGAACCTGGTACCAAGGCTGTGAGCATTATACACAGCTGTGAGCATGGCTGGGGGGTCCTTGCTCCACAGTCTGGCTACCTCGGTCCTTGTATAATGGAATTAAATATACTTCAACTGGACACAGAAGGTGAGCTCACACAGGACCATGGCTTTAAATAACATCCATATGCTGGTGGCTTCCAACTCTGCACCTCTAGCCCTGATTCTCCTCTGAACTCCTAACCCTCATATCCAACTGCCTCCTCTCCCGGGGCTTCCAATAGGATGTACTACTGTCCTTGCCCAATGTCCCAATCTCAGCAGCACATAGACGTGCCATCCTTACAGTTAGTCAAGCCAGAAGTTTTGGAGCCACCCTAGAGTCCTCCACTTGGAGCCATACTCCATGTCCAATCTGCCAGCCCATCTGCTTTACCTTCCAGACAGACCCATTCGCTGACCACTTCTCCACATCTCCTACTTCCATCCTGATGCAGACCTGCCTTTGTTTGCAACAATCTCATTTCTGTATTCTGCCTCGGCTCTTGTCCCTGGTGCCCATTCTCAACATGACAGCCAACGGGACCACTCTCAGTCTCCCTTTGCTGCTTTATTTTTCTCCTTTGCTCAGTCTCTCATATTACGTATTTTCTTCTTTTGTGTATTATCTGTCTCCTCCCAGCAGAAAGTAAGCTCCCTGAGGGCAGTAGTTTGTGTTTTTTCATGCTGCGGCCCCCTGCATAGCACACCTGGCATGTGGTAGGTGTGCAGGTGTAGGACAAACACATGCTGAAAGAAAGGGCACCTACCTGGGCTTTCATGACTGCCATCTCAAGAGGTCTGCTGCTGACAGTGACTGACTCCAATGCAGAGGACATCCGGTGGCAGAGGTGCTTGTTCTGGATGGCAAACCTCAGCTCTTCCTTGACAAAGGGTGTCAGGTTAGCAAAATCCTCAAACACCAGTGACCCAGGAGGGGACAGGCAGGGGACGATGGCAGAGGCACTGACTTCCGAGGCAGAGACCTGGCCTGGGTGTTGAAGCATCATTTTGCTGAAAGACACATTGAAACCCAAACTACTTCAGGGATTGGGGGCATGGAGCCAAGTCCCGCCACACCTGCGACCTCCAACCCAAGTCCCACACCCCAGGGAAAGTCACATAAGCTCTCTGGCTTGTTTTGTTTTCATTTCATGCCATCATCAGCTTGAGTAAAACAGGTTCTTAATATACACAGCTCAGTGATGTGGATAAAATGCCTCACTGAAGTTGATCAGGGTTGGCATTTTGAATTTTCAAAAGCATTAATGTTGGCTGGTGTGCATACATGCAAATGTAGCCTCAAACCATAATGAAAGAGGAAGAGCATTAAAAAAAAAAAAAAAAAAGTGAAACTATTATGTAACCTCATTTCCAGTCTCTTGTTGAAAAAAGAAACTTGGCATCTGAAATCAAGTTGAAGTTATTAGTAAGTGGAAGTAAAGCAAGACGTGGGGGACCCCTGAATGTAGCAAATATATCTCTGACATTCTTCCTCAGGAAGTTGGATCCAAATAAATGAGCATGAGGATGGTAACCATGGCAGACGAGTTTCTTTGAGCCAGTCCTTGGCAGAGGCTGAGGGCTAGGGTTTCAGATCACAAGGGACCAGTAGTAGCCCCATTTGTAAAGTTAAGCTTAATGAAGCAAAGACCTCAAAATAAAACGAGGAGCTAAGAATTTGGACCTCATCTGGAGGTCTTGTTCTGCCCTGTGCTGTCTATGCAGAGCCTTGGTCTGGGGGCTAAAGGGGACCTTGGGCACTGTCTCTGGTGCTAAGGAGCGGTATGACCTGAACTCTCTGAGCCTCAGTCTTCATCCGGCACATGACAGAGTTCTGTAGCATGGGAACTGAGTCTGTGCTGTGGCTCTATTCCAGAGCAGGCTGCCCCCAATGCCTGCTGACCACTGAAGACTGCCCAACTAAATATACGAAATTGGGAAGTGTTGGTCAAAGCAAATGGCTTCTGAGGTCCTATCTACCTCTTATCATTCTTTATTTATTTATTTTTTAATATATTTTATCGATTTTCCACAGAGAGGAAGGAAGAGGGATTGAGAGCTAGAAATGTTGATGAGAGAGAAACATCAATCAGCTGCCTCCTGCACAGCCCCTGTCGGGGATGTGCCCGCAACCAATGTACATGCCCTTGACCGAAATCGAACCCAGGACCCTTCAGTCCACAGACCGACGCTCTATCCACCGAGCCAAACCGGTTTCGGCTATCTTCTTCTATCATTCTATAGCCCAAGGAATCCAAAGAGACAATCCCATATAATGAAAGCTAAGTGTCTGACTGTTTGACCATTCAACCAGTTGTTATGAGGCACACTGACCACGAGGGGGCAGATGCTCCAACCGATAGATTAGATTGCTGCTGGGGTCCAGCCTATCAGGACTGGGCGAGAGGGGCCAGACATGCCCTAGAACCCTCCTGCAGTCCCTTCGGGCCTGATCGTGCACTGGTGGGGTCCCTCAGCCTGGCCTTTGCCCTCTCACAATCCAGGAACCCTTGGGGGGTGTCAGAGCCGGTTTAGGCCCGATCCTCACAGGCCAGTAGGAAAATAAAAGGTGGAAACAGTGACAGTTCCATGCTCCCCATAAATTTCTTCCCGCCATATACTTCCTCCAGTACTGGCTGTTCCTCCTTGTCCAAGCAGTCAGTTCTCCAGGGGTGATGAAGATGGGGATTATCTAGTTAGGGGTTCCCTGGAGAATTCTTCTCAATCTGGGGATCTATGGACCTTAAGTCCAACCAGACAGGAAGCCCATTAACAAATTGCTGACATTTAATTAGTGCTTCCTTCACAAAGAAATTTAATGTGATTGATCTCATTTAATCTTCATGAGAACCTAGTTGAGTTAGGTCCTAGCACCATTTTTATAGGTGGAGTAACTGAGATTTATACAAGCTCAATAACTTGCCTAAAGTCAGTGTGAGACAGCATCAGGATTTGGAATTTGATTCCAAAATTCATGTCCTTAATGTATAGAATATAGAATATTATTCCACATTGCAAAAACGAACAAAAAACTAAAACAAATTTTTCATGGGGGTGTGAGTAGGCATAGGGGTGGTGGGGGTCCCAGAAATGAATTGCTGGAGGAAAGAGCCACAGGGGAAACTTGAGCCCTAGGTAATAAATTTGCTGATCTATGTCAGGGTGCACACTCAGGCTGCTGTCCCCATTTTGAAGTATTTATAAGCAGGCCTTTTATGCACAAAAATTCCTAGATGGGGTCAGAAGATCAAGATTTAAGGCTCACTTACTGATATGTCATCCTAACTCCCAGTGTCCTTCCTTCACCTATATAAAATAAAGCTAATAACAATTGTCCTATTTTCTCATTTGAGTTGTACAGGAGTTGAGGAATAATAATACATGAATTTGCCTTGAAAACATAATACAATTAGGGGATATGCTTTTACTGGGCCTTTCAGGGATATTTCAGGCACAAGCCTGGCTCTCTACCGGTTGGTCCAGGTGGGATGGTGGCTGATCACTCTCTTGGATCTCAAACACTTCTGAATAGAGCACCCTGACTTCTAACTCTCCTTTATAATCTGAGATACACTGTTGGAGGCAAGAACTCCAGGCCAACAAATGCCACCTTTGACTATTCAAAGGAACCCAGGAAATGTATGTAACTCTTTCTATAAAGCCCTATGTCATGAGTCAGAACCGAAGTTCTACCAGTTTAATCCTATAACCTTAGGATGCTGGGAGGGCACTTGTCTCTGGCAGGTAATAAACTCTGAGAAAACAGCCTTCTAAAGCCAGAGGGTTAAGATTCTACCATGCATTCATGCTTTCCGTCCCCTTCTAATTTCATTAAAAATCCAGGAGTTCAGGGATGGAATTCAAAGCTACCACTGGGCTTGCCTTTGTTTGGAGGACTAGATGGCTCCCTTCTACATGGGTAGTCTGAATTCCACACAGTTGTGTGTAGTTCCATTTCATCACCCAACTACGTTTATTAATGAGCTTTCAAGGCTTGAGGTCTGCTGTTTGGGAATTTTCCCCCCTTCTTAGTGTAGTCAGCAGTCCTGAGAAATGAAAGTGAAGAATGTCAGTGGTATGGAATGTCTTTATGAAAAGCATTGGGTGGGCTTACTTGGGGACAGAAATGGGTTGTAAAAATGTTAAATGCTTTTCAGAACGTAAAGTAGTTCTATCTGTAGAGATTTGGACTTTGTCTGCACTCAGCTAAAGCTTAGGTTGTTTTCTTTTTAGTTTTTTGAGATACTTTCTAGTTATTTCTTTACTCAGTTCTCTTAAGGTATGATTCAGCCCAGACTGTGTCCCTACAAGGAAAACGAAGTTGAAATCTTCAGACTTTTCCCCGTTAATGTTGAGACCTTTTAACATCCCCCTCATTGAATAAAAAAAAATATATGTTTGGGGGTTTTCTGAGTTAACTTTCTACATTGATCCTAAAATTGTCCACACTTGCTACACAGCACTTGCATTTTGCTTCTGCTCCGTTATCTCTGATCAGAAATCACGTCGTATCATTGGTGGTGTAATCATTTTCAAGAAAGTGAAACTTTACTCATTTATTTCTTTAACTGGAAATTCAGCTCCTAGATTTTATTTCCTAGTAGCTACAAATAACTCTGTTGAATTTTCACTTTTAATTTTCCATTAACCACTGCTCATAAAACATCTTAAAGTCAGAAGCCAACACAGGTCTTTTGCTAATTTCATATCTTGCTTTGTCTTTCTCCCAGTCCACTTGAAGGTTGGAGGTATACAGCTGGGTTTCAGGACCAGATGTTTCCACTGACAAGCTGAGTACCCACCAAGAAGCCACTCATGCTTTCAGGGCCTCAGTCTCCTCATCTATGAAATGAGACCAGTACCGCCTGCCTGAGTTCCCTCACAGGGCTCAGATTCATGAAGATCATACAAGATTCATGAAGGTGAGTTTACACATATCTTGAGACCCCAATACTACTATGATTCCACTTTCTTCCATTTCGAGGGAATTCAATGCTGTTGACAATATAGCTTATTCATCAGGAATTAATTGGAACCCTCAAAACATTCAGGTCAGTCACAGCTTCTTTTGCACTTTGATTGACCCCAGGCTCCCCACACAAGGCCAATTCCACCCCTCTATTTGCTGGCACCAGCTTGTCTCCACTGGTACTTATGAAATAACTAGTTCTCACAGAGACCATTTCTGGTTTCTGTGGTGTCCTGGCTATGTACTTCCTCCGCCCCAGGATGGGTGACACTTGGAGTCACTGACCCTGCTCCATGCCCAGCCATTTGAAAAAGGAAGAAATCAAGGACTCTATCTAATGAAATAGAACATCTAATATTAGAGTCACCTAGGTCAGGTCTTTATTTGTAATTAAGTAAAATGAGGTCCAGTAAGGTAGTGACTTGCCCAAAACCAAAGCTGGCGAGAGGTCCAGCCTGGGCCAAACTGCTGACCACTCACCCATTGCTCATTTTCTTCCATCACCAAGAGAGACCCAACTAACAAAGCAATTGGCCAGGTAGATAAAAGATCAAGTCAAGTAACCTGGTACCCACCAGAGGAGGCTTTGGCAGGATTAGACAGGGAGGGAGTATAGAAGGAAGAGAATAGGGAGAGAGAAGGGGTTAGACAGAAGGATCCAAAGGCAAGGTAGCTGCCACAGGTACTGAGTGCTGTGTCTTATCCACACTGTGGGCCTGGAGTGTTACCTGCCATGTTATCTCTGAAACCAGTCAGACAATTACAACTGCAAAACCTATACTCACCCCAGTCTTGGTCTGGAATAGCCTGAAAGCAAGAGCCTCCGTGTTGTAGCATTATTCTACCACAAATGCTAACTGCAGCACAAAGAGACAGTAATATCAATTTCCCCTTCATTTAAAGTTGAGGCGACAGTGGTAACTGTCAGCCACAATGTAATAGGTACATTGGGAGAAAACGTGGCAGGCAGCACTTCAGGCTCACAGTGTGGGCAAGAAATACACCTGTAGCCACTACTGGAGCCTTCCTGTCTTAACAGCCCTTCTCCCCCCCACCCCTGCCCCCTTTGCCCTGGCTCTTGGCTCTCCCCCACCCCCCTATACTTTAGCAACTCTTTTTTTTTTTTTTTTTTTTTTTTGTAACGAAGCATATGTGATCTAGGAAATGAAAGTATAGAAAAGAAAGTGGTTAGGAAGTAAGCAGATGGGTTGGAAATGGGGTGTGGAGGAGCAGAGAAGAGAACCAATCCAAATGGAAAGCAAGCTGGAAAAGGAAGAGATGTTCAATAGAGAGTCCCCATTCCCCCTTTGCCTCAGAGGCTGGCCAGTGACATGAGATAGAGACTCACTCATACAAGTCATATAAGACCTCTTACTACCTCCCCCCTTTTTGAAATTACACCACTCTAGAATCTGAAAATCTTCTGGCCAGTAAGGACCTTAACGGTTATCTGGTCCAAACACCGCCTTGCGCTGGCTAACAGGCAGGGGGGGCCAGCACTGCGGCTGTGCCCCCATCTCCCAGCAGGGATACCGAGGCTCCAGGACATCACCCGCAGTACAAGCTCTCCTCAGGGTCCTGGCCACTAACCACAAAGCCATTCTCTCAATTATGAGCATGTGGCTTCGCACCTTAGCTTTCCCTGAGGCGGGTTCCTTGGAGGGAAAGCAGAGAAATCTGAGAACACGCCACAGGAAGAGCCAAAGCCACAGGTATGAGAGAACGGAGTGAGCAACTTGGGACAGGAAGTCTCAGGCCCCGGAGCCCGACCCCAGTCAGTGCTGGAGCCCTCTTCGTCTTCTGCCGAAGGACCGGACCGGAGCGCCCGCCACCTCTAAACTTATCCCAACTAACTTTCGCTCCCGGCTGCCCGCGCTGTCCTGCGCTTCCGAGTGCGTAGGGCGACTCCCGGCGGCCGAGGTCGCGACCGGGTTCCCGGGTTCTCCGGTTCCCCGGTTTCATTCATTCCGTTCGGTTCCTGGGGCAGCCCTGCCGTGAGCCCCAGCCTCCGTGCCGCTCTGCGGATCTCGGGAAGGCTGGGATCGGGAGTGCCAGTGCCGCGGCGCCAAGCGAGGGATGGAGCGAACAGCGAGCTGCGGAGCCTCGGACACCCGTGCGCAACACCCCTCCGCACGCCCGCTCCCAGAGGGCTGGGAAAGCGCCCGGCCAGGGGAGGGTGCTCCCAGCCTCGCCGAGAAGCAGGAGCCCCACCTCTACCAACAGGACTCTTCTGCGCCCCAAGTCAAAAGAGAAAGTTCTCGGCGAGAAACTTTCTGAAGCGTCGGAGAGCAGCGGTGGCTGGGAAAAGTTCGGCCAGAGTTCTCTAGAAGCCGAAGGCTGGGGGCGCGGGTCGGGGCTGGGCTCAGGGGGCGCGGGACTAGTTACTATCCGGGCGCGAAGGGAATGAAAGCGAGCCACCCTCTCCGGCTCACTCACTGGACTTCCTAGCGCTCACCTCTGGTCTCCGCTCGGAGCGGCCAGGGTCCGGAGGGCGGGCGGGGTCGGGACGGGGTCGGGCTGCTTGTCGGTTGGGCTGGCGGGCGAACCCCGGGAGCGCACAGCCGAAGCGCGGGCAGGCGGGTCCGCAGGGGCAGCGACCGGGGAGTGCAGTGCAGTGCCCGCCTCGCTGCGTGCGACTGTGGCTGAGAGCGCGTTGCATCACCCTTTATAGCCCTCTGGCTGGCGCCGTGCCAGGTTACTCCAGTCCCAGGCTGATGTAATGCTATTAATAACTTTCCCCGGGAACCAGCCGAACTAGACTGGGCAAGGGAGGGGACTGGAGGAGGGGCCGAAGTGGGAGGGGGGGAGAGGAGGGGACTGGTGATGCAAAAGCACGGGGAGGAGCTGGCCAGGGAGCGTCCTCCGGACTCGCGCGCTGGGACACAAACCTGCCCGCCCTCTCTCTCCATATCAGGGCAGGAGTCGCTCGGGCTGGCCGCCAGATGTGCGTACTCGCTGCTGCGTGTTCCAGGCATGAGCCAATGGTGCCCAAGCCAGCTGCATGACTCCACTGCGCTGGCATCTCTCCCTCCGCTAGGTGGGGGGACGAGGGGAGGGGGGGGAGAGGTGATGGGGAACAGCGTGTGGTGGATCCTGGCCGCAGTCTAGACGAGGTGAAGCTGGGAAGAGGCACATCCTTTCTCTAAAATGAGGGATCATTTTCTGGAGCTTCGGGAAAATACTCTCTTCCCCGCCAAACGCCTCCTTCCATGTAGGGGGCGGGGTAAGAGCTGTAGGGTTAGCCTCTGGTTCGAGAGAGGTGCCCAAAGGAACCCTACGGCGAACCCACACCGTAACCCGCCGTGGGTGACCTCCGCGGCTGGGACCGCGAGAAATTAGCGGGTTAACCCAGAGCAGAGCGCAGCAATCGGTGGGCCCTGTGGGTTCGAAGTCTCGTCACACCCCACCCGAGGGCAAATGGCACAGTCCCGAGGCAGATTGGGAACCCGACCCCCCGAGAGGGCAAATAGGACCTTAAGGGTTAGGATTCTTTCTTTTTCTTTTTCTTTTATTATTATTATTTTTTAACAACCAACAGCGTTTGAAATTGATAGTGCAATGAACAAGATCCTGGAAAGATGAGAGCTGGAGAAATCAGAGGCAACCCAAAGAGGGACTCAGTGGGGCCGGAGCCTCGAGGCCAGGGAGAGGAGGAAAGACACGGAGCGTTGGTCTCCTTATTTAGGTGCGTGGGGAAAGCAGTCTTGGGCTTGCACGGATTTTGTCGCGCCCAGAGCGATGGGGCTAGGACCGGACCGCGGGGACTGGGGCGCGGACCGCTGCGGAAATGCCCTGGAGCAGAAATCCCTCCGCCCCGGAGCCCGGCCGGGTGGCGGGAGAGGCGCTGTCCCTTGAACCCAGATTCCAGCGAGGCTTCAGCAAAACTGGATTTGAGCCTTAAAATGACTTCTTGGTTAGGATTCCCCGACCTTAGCTGTCTCGCTGGCCCATGGACGCATATATGTGAAAGCGAGTGTGCCCCTCGCTGTTGTTGAACCTGCCAGGGAGGGAGACCCATGCGAACCCGTGGGATGTGAGGGTACAGCCGGCGCAGAAACAGTGGCTTCCAGCTGCCTCTTGGGAGCTAGGCGAGTTAAGGTCCAAGTGTGGTAATTTGGGGTGAGAACCAGGAGGGTCTTGCTCGCTCGCAGTCCCACCCCACGCACTGCAGCCTTCTGCTCTTATGGTGGTGATGGAGGGTCCCGTCAGCCTGTCGCGCTCGCTCTCTCCCTCACTCCCTTACACACATACACGCACACACCGCACACGCACACGGCATCTGTGTCCCTTCCCCCGGCCCCGCCCATTGTCCTACAGCCTGGGGCAGAGACCCTCAGAGCTGCAGGTACCAGTCTCCCGCATCTGGCTTCCTCTCCCCAACCCCAGCCCCACCCAGACGCTGCCCCCCCTCGGGTCCCCCCCCGCTCCCGCCGCGCCTCGGGCCCCCAAGTTTCGGGCTCAGAACACGCGGAGGGCGACCTCGGAAATTCCTTCTGTCCCTGGCCCGACCTGGAACCCCGGGGTTCCCCAAAGGATCCCTGAGAATGTTTGGGACGGGATAGGGTTTACAGCTGTGTCGCGCGGGAAGCACTAGGCGATTGTTTTGCTTTACTTTTCTCCATGGTAACGGCTCTCCCGGCCACACCCTCCACACCCAGCCCTCCTCTCCTCCCCCGCCCGCTATTGGCGCCCCACACCCCCAGACCCGCCCTCCAGCCGACGCGTCGCGTTGGCTGGTAAACTCTAGGCCGGCAGGTAAGCTCCTAGATTCGAAGGAAAGGAGTTTGTTCATTAAATGAAAGGTATTTGGAATTCTCTATTTATTGTGTGTACTTATCTACATTATAAAGAGAAATGAGATGGGGGAGACACGTGAAAGCTTCCTCCCCCTTCTGTTCCTCTGTGAAATGCCTGCGGAAATCTTTAACCAGTTTACATTTTAAACTCTGAGCCACTCGTACACCCCAGCCAGATGTAAGGAGGTGGAGTCCTGTCCTGCAGGGGAAATTCAACTTCAGGAGTTGGGTACACAGCAGCCAGACCAGCCTGCGCAAACCAGTGCAAGAGGAGGGTAAGGAAGACGGAGAAGTCCAGCCCCAGCCGTTTGTTTTTGTTACCATAATGCCTCCTGTTCCTCTTAGGAGTCTTGTTTCATTCTAATAATTCTTGGTTTTAAATCTTCAAGTCACATCTGGATAGAAATGTGGCCAGCTGATCACAGAAGTCTGAGGCTGCTTTCTATGCCAGCTTTCCCACTGAAACTCTAAAAGCGATAAGAATCTAGACACAGAAGTCCACCCCCTTGTGAATGAAACTCTTATCTAAGAAAAACAGAAAGGCTGCCTGCCTCCCGGCTTCCCTGCCCCCAGCTCTCCAGAGTGCTGTGAGATGCCTGACCAATGGCGGACTGAGAAGGTGGAAAGGAAGCGCCCCAAGGACTGTTTCGCTGAGGGGTGAACAGTATCTGAGTCTTGTGCATCCTCAGTTTACCCTGATTGAGTCCTGTGTGCACATGCGCGCTGTCTAGAGGAGGGGCAAGAACAGCTCCCCGGGCCACAATGCTTCTCTACACAAAGGCAAAGAATTGCTGGCCCGGAGAAGGAAGCCCTGGCTTTGGTTATTTCAGGGGTTAATCCTCAGTGGAAAAGGGTGAAGCAGGGACCTGAATATTGTTGAGGTTTCATGCTGGAGAACCACCTGGGGAATCCACATTCAGACCAGCCTTGGTATGTTTTGCCGAGTGAGATAAGAACTGGAAACTTCATGTTGGGGCATGTGCAAAAGGAAGGGGAAAATGTTAAAAGGGGAGGGGTTGGAACTAGGCAGCTAAAAACAGCCCACTCGTGGCAACCGAATCTAAACACCAAACATTGCAGGGAGCCAAAAAAAAAAAAAAAAGTCCAGAGATATTTAAAGATTTTAGCAGTTTCTTAGTCCAGGGAACAGTTTCTTCCTACTCCTCCCTCCACCCCATTACTCTTCTTCAAACCCCAAGATTGTATTACAGAGCTCTGGAGAGGCACATTAAACTAAGTTAAAGTTAGTCAGGCACTAGCAGTCTGTCAGTCCTTGTGGCTCAACCCATCTCACCTCAGGAAGCGTGGGGTAGTGGGGCCCCTGTGGATCAGTGGTTAAATGTGGACCTATATAGGACTCCATCCCAGGATGCAGTTCTCTCCCTCTCCCTCTCCCTCTCCCTCTCCCTCTCCCTCTCCCTCTCCCTCTCCCTCTCCCTCTCCCTCTCCCTCTCCCTCTCCCTCTCCCTCTCCCTCTCCCTCTCCCTCTCCCTCTCCCTCTCCCTCTTTGAAAGCAATAAAAAATATTTTTTAAAAGGAAGTGTGGGGTACATTTTATTTTTTATTCTGTTTTCCAAAACCCATGCTTAAACTCAATTTGTATAATGGTCATTACTAACTTCAGAGTCTACAAATGGACCTCCTTAGGAAACACGGGGAAGAATTGCATAATGGGCTGTGTCACTTTGCGTAAGTCATCTCACACTCTGGGCTCAGGTTTCCTTAGCTCAAATAGAGCACGAATAATAGTATCGGACACATAAGTTTGTTGGAAGGCTTCGTGAGGATGGGGCACACAGCTCAGTAATGGTGTCCTTAATTATGAATCAAGGAGGGCTTTCTGGGGATACCCTGAATCTCTCCTAGAGTCCATTCTATCCCTAGTCTGTGACAAACAATTGTAGATGAAGCCAGACTATATTAAGGAATGGTCATCTTTAGGGGATTGAGGATAAGACTCTGGAGACACAGAAACCAATGAGCGTGATCCCTGTTCTCCATCCTCAGCAACTCTAGTACATGTAGGGGCTCTCCTCAGTGCACAGAGGACCAACGGCCTGTGCACAGTGCCCTGGGTTGGGAGCAGGAGATTTGTGTTCCAGTCGGGTTCTGACTTTGGTATTCTTGAGCAGAACATTCTTCCCTCAGAAAAGAGGAGCACTGGGCTCCTTCTGTAGAGCCATCCTGAAAAACCCTGGCAACCTATCCAACAGAGTTGGAGGGAGAGCGGGTGTCAGGGGGGAGGCACAGTGACAGACCCATTTCCACAATCTCTCTTTCCCTCCAAAAGCTGGAGAAATATTGTTTAACTTGACTCTCAAACACAGCCTTTAGTCCTGACCACCCCTCCCCACTCCCCCCTCTCTCTCCACTTCTAAGAAAATTTACCCCTGAACTTTGTGCCTTATTAGAGAAGAGAGTGTAAGAGCCTCACAAGCAGGGATTGCATTGTTGGGACCTTTTGGGTGTGTAATCAATCTTCAATAACCATAGACATCCACTTTGGACCAGAGGACCAAAGCCCAGGTAATAGCTACTCCCAATAAGTGTGGGGATCCCGGAGCCCTAGGGCTGAAGATGGACTCCCAACAACCAGAATATTAGCAGGAATCAGGAAACCTGGGAACCACTGGGAGGTTTCCCTCTAGCCAACCGAGTGGCTTACATAAGTCAAAAACACTTCATCTGTGTTTAAAATAGAACTATTTAATAGCAACTCTGTCCAAAGGATTGTTGTAAGAATCAATGAGATAACAGGTGTGAAAGTGATTTGAAAATAATTAAAAGAAGCACACTTTTAAAGATTCTTTTGGGGAAGCTTTTCTTAGTATGTATATATTTTTACCATTATGAAAATTTGGGA